AAAGTATACGTATCATTTTTCTTGAGCCAAGGATTAAGTATAAAAACCGGAGACATTTAATGCCTTATCCAGATTTTTCAAAGTCACAATGTGCAAAATCTTGAAAATTTTTCCCGTGTGTGCTAACATAAATTTTCGAGGTGCATTTCCACTTGCAGCAACACTTTGCAAAACAACATACAAGAAATAGTACAATTTTATTTTGACGCTGCAACCATTACCAACTTGGCAGTCATATGTGATGATCAAGTGCGTGGGACTCCTCCAATACTACGTTTTAAACCTCGTTATTGGGTTTACTCATTGCACATTACATGTTCAACATATAATTTGACCATTTTTAAATAATTCATTAAAAGTTATTCCACCAATTTATTTCCATTATTTCCGAGGTGCCTAATTTTCCAGTGTCTACTTTTAGTTGGTCCCGGAATCTTACTCCAACCACCCAACATACGAGTCGCAGTTCTCACGACTTCATGGTAGCTCCTGCCACGAACGAACCGCGGCGTCTCTTGCCATGTTTTTATGGCGCTATTCAGTAATCAGTATTACCGGTATATTCACAAAGTCATGTACCAGATTTTAGTTTTCATGCAGAATTATATCTACTTAAACCTGAAACCTAACCCCAAACTCATCAAAACTGTATCCATAAGAAAAATGTTCCAACTTACCCAATATGATCCTTTCCCCGATCTTTGACCCCCTAAAAGTTCTTCCTATACTCTACCATTGCAAAAATTTTGGGGCTATTTTTTAAGTGCTCTTGCGAATTGGCGTCTTTAAAATGGGGTATGTGTTTCAAACCATCATTATGATTCATCGCATACAACAATCTGTTTTTTAAAGGGACCTGTAAAGAATTTTAGCCTAGTCCATCACAGCTATTTCTACACTAATTTTACTGCAATTATTACTGCAATTAAATTAAAACGCCTAGGAAGACAGAGTGATTATTGAATTATCTGATTTACATTTAAGTTTCCGAAACACATCTGTCTAAGTGAGAAAAGTGTCTGAGCAGATGCGAATAGAGAGCATTGTTACGTCCCTTTTTGCATCTTGCTGATTGGCTAATGTCCCTAAGTAAACAAGGAAGTCGATGCTCGGGGAAAGGTCCATTTGTCACCATCAGGGGCAGCCCTGCCATTACAGCCGACATGCCTTTGTTACGGCTGCAAAATTTTACCCGCCATTGGTTTTCAAGTTTATTGTATCCAACCAGTAAAGTAATAAATACAAACATTATTCAAAAAAGAGGTAATAATACATTTTTACTTTGAAAGGGAAGCCGCAGGGAACCAAATCTGGTTATCGAGCAGCGACACCCAAGGTTCACTTCTAATATCTAGTTAAAAGATCGGGTAATTTAATTATAAAAATACTGTTATTGGCGATGACTGAGTAGCCTATCGTATGGTTTTACCGTATGGTATGGCCATGGTTTGGAAATCCCGCTATGATTTGGCGGCAGCTTCAGACGCCACAAAATACTTGAAACTGCACTTGAAACGGGTACAACATGTATTTTACTAGAACTAAATAATCAGTGTCTTTCACATTTATCATTAGTTGAACCGTAAATATATACTACTACGTTGAACGTAATGCAGTCATACTTCTTCTGTGTACTGCAAGATATAAAATAGGGTTGGAACGTAATGCAGTTATTTTTGAACATGTTAATCCAAGTGTAAATAATGTCATAACAAGAATTGGAAAATCTCTTTCAGCAAGAAAAATATAGAACAATTTAGACATAAACCTAGTTTTATAAAAGAACTAGACATAATTTGCAAGAATATATGACTAATTGTATAAATTTTTATATTTCTGCTATAATTCAATGCTATAATTCTGCTATAATTCTTTTTAGTGTTCAGCTTTTTAGTGACCTCAACCACCTTATTATTCGTCGGAAGATATTTCATTCACTTCTTCCTTTTAGTGTTCAGCTTTTTAGTGACTTCAACCACCTCATTATTCGTCGGAAAAAATTTCATCCACCTCTTCCTTTTAGTGTTTAGCTTTTTAGTGACTTCAGCCACCTCACCACTCGTCGGAAGAAATTCCTTCCACTTCTTCCATTTAGTGTCCAGCCTTTTAGTGTTTTTTAATTTTTCACCTTTGGGAACACTTCAGCTTCCGTTTTTCCTCCACTTCATCCGTTTCTTCCTTCAGCCCTTTAGTGTTGTCCAAATTAATGTATATTTACTGATAAACATGGGAGACATTATCTGGAATCAACAATGGAATAATATGAATTGCTGGATAATACTGGATGATGTTTACGAATATATTTGTTTATTATATGTAACTATGTTCTATGTTTATTATTTTTTCATCATTTATTTATTTTTACAAAACTGTTATGAATCCACAACGTGGAACTTTAAATAAAAAAAAAACAGGTACACTCCGTCAATCATACGTACCAAAGTGACTATAGAAGACTTGCACGGGTCACGTGACTTTGTTTACTGGACGGCAAAAAAACAAAAACGTTTAACTGGCTCCTGTCAGTTGCAAGTCGGATTATACGTTTCCGTTTTGTTTGGCTGTTGAAAATGGTTATTTCGTATTGTTCCGTTGGCTGTACGTATAGTATAGACAACGAAATGGATCTTTAGTTATATTCCACTGTTTCCAAAAGATCCGGAACGTCGCGCAATGTGGATATCATCTATTGCTGTATTGGCAGGACTGCTTTGTGTCAAGTCCGGAAATCATCTCGCTTGTGTTTCACTGTTTGCGGACAGCACTTCGTTGATGGTGAGTGATAATGTGCCGTTATCAATTTCTTTGGATATTCATAAGCTTCCTCATTTCAATGGAAAGCAGATGACAAACTACTGTTATTGGCCTAGGCGTAGGCCTACTTGCAGACTTGACTTGTGTTGCCATAAGGTATTGTTTACCTAGTTAGCAGTTAATTTATTACTAAGTGGGAAAGGTTGACTAGATAATCAAAGTTTAACGCCAGTGTTCCGCATTTATGATCACCTTGGTAGTTTCACAAGTTCCAATCCCGCGCGGGGATAGTTATGTGAGAGAGGATTGCAGCTCTCCTCCCACTGAGGGTGGTTCACACGACCGCTGGTCGGTTACGACATTCCCCACCATCAAGTCCATGCTTCTGAAAACAAATAACTGGCTAACTAATCCCGACATAGAATAGTAATCATACGATGTTGCACCAGTTAGCAGGTAATCTATTACTAAGTGAGAAAGGTTGACTAGATAATCAAAGTTTAACGCCAGTGTTCCGCATTTATGATCACATTGGTAGTTTCACAGTTTCCAATCCCATGCGGGGATAGTTATGTGAGAGAGGATTGCAGCTCTCCTCCCACTGAGGGTGGTTCACACGACCGCTGGTCGGTTACGACATTCCCCATCATCAAGTCCATGCATCTGAAAACAAATAACTGGCTAACTAATCCCGACATAGAATAGTAATCGTACGATGTTGCACCAGCAATCCTCCCCAAAACCGCTCCTACACCAAGCAGTCCTGCCAATAGATATGTTTATATGTTTATATGAAACTCATTGCGAAAAAGGTCTTTTAAAAGGGATCAATACGTATTTTCACGGGTCGCAACTTGAGCATATTTTTGAAGGGCGTCACAATACGATGATGTTCGAGAACTACTGCATCCCAGTCGATAGCAGGAAATATTTTGTACTTTTTTTTGAATGGTTATTAGTCTATATGTAGCAGTTATTTTAAATAAAAACGTGCTATTTATAAGTAAACGGTAATCGGTATCCATATTTTGTATAATAAAAAATCTCATTATTCTCTATTCCAAAAATAAGCCCTAGTGTTATTTTCGAAAGAAAATTGAAGACAGTGTCTTATTTTCGGGAAAACACGGTATTATGATGATGTATTCACTCGGAATCTTGAAATCTTTGTTTTACACTATTTGTATAATAATTGTATTTCGAATCGAAAGTCTGAAAAAAGTACAATATATATGGTACTTCGTGTAAAATTGGTGTTCTCTTTGCGGACCCTAAATTTCGTTTCGCGGCCCCTTCCAGGGCCGCGGCCCCTAGTTTGGGAAGCCCTGGTCTATACTATACGTACAGCCAACGGTACAATACGAAATAACCATTTTCAACAGCCAAACAAAACGGAAACGTATAATCCGACTTGCAACTGACAAGAGCCAGCTGGACGTTTTTGTTTTTTTGCCGTCCAGTAAACAAAGTCACGTGACCCGTGCAATATATAATACGTTATAGTCACTTTGATACGTACGTGCAAAGCAACGACTAACTTACCGGTGCAAAGGTACCGTAATGGTGTTGTGCGGCATATCGGTACCAGTAGGTTCTCTTCTCAAAGTGCTAAAATAATCTAGGGGCTCCGCGAACTATTCGTTTACTTATTAAAATACTGACTTGGCTAATTTTGTAACTGTCCAGGGAAGCAATAACGGCATTAGTGAAATTTGACAACGTCGAAATGTGGCAACAATGTGGTTCGGTAATTCAAATTTGCAATATTGAATTTTTATAAATTTTTGTGGGGCTCCGTAAATAATTGTCAACCTGTTTCTCTTCACGGGATCCATAAAAGTTTGAGATCCCTGTTGTGCGGTACCTGTACCGGTACCGGTATCTCATGTAAATCTAGACTGGCCTACCGTCAGGCCGCACCGTATATTCTGTCATTCAGAACATTCTGTTGTTCTGATTCAGTGCAGCAGTGAAACTTGGGATTTACAAGGATAGGGATTTAGGCTACATAGTCCCTAATCTGAGGGGAGGGAAGCTGATAAGATGGCTTAACCGTAGGGTGAACCACGGTCTCTCGTCCTGTTACCGTACGGTACCGGTACCATATTATGTCGGGTATGACAATATGGGATTAGTTACGGTACTGTAGACCGTAGTTATTTGTTTTCGGAAGTGATAGACTTGTAGCCTTACCGGTACAGACTTCAGGACTTACGGTAGTCTACAGCATTTGATAATTTTCAATATTTTGTATTTACAGACATGTAATGCTAACGTTGACTATTATTACAGTATTAGTTCGATGAATCTACTATGTCCTCAAATTTATTGTTAAATTTTGTTTTTCGATTGTTACATTGAATCGGTATGAACAATAGAAATACGGGTCGACAGCATCGAAGTTCGAATAGGAAAAGAGTAAAAAGCAGCAGCATGTATAGCCCTGTAAGTACTGAAATATGTAATCCAATAATGTCTGAATGTAAATAAAATCCTTACTTACAGCTTTACGAAAAACTCAATGTGATGTAGTCTAATCATGTGCAAAAACAAAAAACTTACTATGTGAAGTTGTTAGCATGATTGGGGAGTGAGTTCAGTGATTGTGGGAGGGAAAATAACCATGCATCTGGCATCTGGTGTGCATGATATTAGTTATATCTGTATATATTCAAATGAGGTTTGAGTTACAGAATTCGGACATCAATCAATTTAATTTCGGTCACTCTGATATAAAACTAAACAACCAAAAGCAAACATTCAATGCAGAATATCTAGAGGATGAGCATAACTTAGGTACAAAGTTAAAAAATGTACCAAGTACATGCCCATCCACCAAAAACTGTCAAAGAATACATCAAAATAAACACACGGTTCAAAATCGGGCAATAACTTTTTAATGCAAAACAATGAAAACTTCAGCAAACTGTGTGGGTCGTAACAATGAATGAGTCGAGCTCGTGTTCAGTAAAAATTATCCCTCGACGGACCTATGTTTGCACCTGACGGGGGTCAGACGTAAAAATGACAATGTGATTAAATGCCATACTACATTTTACAGTTTTAGCATTTGGAGGGGTGGAGAAATCCATCAAATATCACCTCGAAATCCTGCAGTGGGAAGTCTGTAAGTGTCAGAGAAATTCATTTACGAAAAGCTAATTGGAATAAATTTCAAATCAGTAGACTAAACTAAACATCTAAGTTTAAGGAAAATTTAACCAAGTCCCGAAGCAAAAATATTCGCGCATAAATTTGTCAAAGTCGTAAAGTGAAAATAAACGAGATGTTGTAAATCACAGTTTTTTTTATGCATTAGATAGTAGAAAAAAATAACATACAATTTTCAAGGTTTTTTGAACGCCATGCTGTCTGCATATTGTCATTGACTCATTATTATAGTTTATTTTAACATTGTATCCAACTTTTAATGAGATATTTTTATTCTAGGTGCCTGGAATAGGAAAACCGAGCGTTTACCATGCTGTGATAATTATATTCCTAGAATTTTTTGCGTGGGGTTTACTCACAACACCCATGATGGATGTAAGTATAGTTGTTATATAAAACTCAATATGTCAAGAAATATTAATTATATAATATTTCTGAATACTTTAGCATAACTTCTGATCAAATGTTTATTCATACAGTATTGTTGTGTTTATTCACACAGTGTAAGTTTTTGTTTCGGAGAACACTGCATACATCTACTCATCATCCGCTATGTGTTTCTCTAACAACAAGTAATTTGTTTTTCAGGTTTTAAAGGAAACTTTTAATGAAAATACGCTTCTTGTAAATGGAATAATACAGGGTATCAAGGTGAGATTATTGATCTGATGCCTCTGGGTGTTACATGTTTTTCAATGATTTACCAAAATTTCCCATCTACAATAGGCGTTTGTAACCTTTAATACAGAAGGGCCAAATACAAATAACTGGGTTAAACCACGAGCCGCACCTTTTTTAACATGGGCATTCTAGTAGTTGCATCCTTGCATGCACAAAAAATTTTGGGTATTGATCTTTTGACATGCTTTGTTCACTTCGCACAAGCTAGCGTTCAGGCACTGTAACGTCATATGTATAAATTGGACTCGGGTATTGGCGTTGCAACGTGAAGGGATTGGTTTCGCGGGCCGCACGATTTTTCCCTATGGTCGCAGGTTGCACACCCCTGGTATACAAGATTTTTTTCATATGGAAGCAACATTCATGTTTACAAAGCACATTGAACAATATTTTACGATATAAATTTATAGAAATTGAATTTGGTAACACGGTATAGTTGGCTAAACATTTTTTAGATTAATTTTCCAACAATTTCGGTAATTAGATAAAGTCTATTTTTGTCTCACTGCTGCTATCTATAGCTTCTGAACAAAAATTTTATCCTATAAAGTCACCTTGCATTCAGATATCAATGTTCTCTTGTTTTGTTAGTCATTTATATGATTTAAATTAGGATTGTGAGTCTGAATTGTAGCTGGTTTCAATTCAGTCGTTTATTGCAACATATTAATAGTATAATGAAAGAGATAATAAACTAGCCTTGTTTGAAATCATTTCACAGAAAAATCAATAGTAGATGGTCTCTATCTTCGTATTTATATACAGAGTAAATATTGCAGTGGTATTATTATTACTAATACAAAGAAACACAATATACATTTGTAAGGTGTTATCACACCCTCATTTCAGACAACAGGCTTGAAAACAGATGCTGATATTCGACTTGTCTACTGGAATTTATCTGGGATTGGGCGTGGGGTTTGATCTTGAGATTTTTAACCTCTGACCCCAGTTCCAACCTCCAACCAACCAAGCATATTTTGTTATTTGTCATCGATATCATTCTCTATTTTCAGGGATTGTTGTCTTTTCTTAGTGCACCATTACTTGGAGCACTTTCTGATGTATGGGGAAGAAAGTCTTTTCTAGTTTTAACAGTGTTTTTCACATGTTCTCCCATTCCAATAGCATTGATGAGTCCATGGTAAGTTTATTTTCTCTCAATTGTCGGAAGTGGATTTTTTGTAACTGAAATATATTCTATTGTAATGCCTGACATCCGCATAGTCTGTTGTATGGGGATTGATGCAAAATTTATATTAGTAGTATTAAATAGGTAATACTAATAAAGCAATACTTTGGTTGCGTTATGAGTCATACATACAATATTCACCAATTTGGTGCTTATTGTTTAGTATAAAGTGATAAATTAGTGGTCGAACATACATGTCAACGACCCAGGAAACAGTATCGTCATTGTAGTTTATGTTTGTTTTGTAATGTTTGTACACATTAGCATGCTTGCTTGATATAGTTATTATAATTTAGACCATATGATATTACCGGTAATTTTGCTTCTCAAACCACTTTATCAACCTCATTCACCAAATATTTTATTACTTGAATCGCAATTAATATATTGTTTCTGTGAATATTTATAACTAAAAATTTATTCTCCAAGTATGGTTGATATTTTGGTATACCCTTGATTGGAACCCGGGATTTCAGATATAGATTGAATATTCCAATACATTTTAATAGTCCAGGGTTTCCCAAACTGGGAGTCTGTAATGACTGCACATGGGGTCCACAACTTTATGAAAAGAGTCTGATTGATCTTGGATGATTAATTTCAATCAATAAGCTATTGCATCTTTTTGGTTGAGCATTGTAAGCGAATATCCATTGCTGTCAGAAAAGGCAATTAAGATTTTAATGCCTTTTAAAATGACCTACATGTGTGAGGCAGCATTTTCAGCTCTTACTAGACTTGCCGTTGAGTGGGAGCCACGAGTTTGCTCGTCCACAATGGGTTCGATTTGATAAATTATGCAGTGAAAATCTCCCTCATCCATCACATTATTAATGTCATTGTGTTGTTGTGTTGTAAATAAACATTATTCTTTCTCGTTGGTAAGCGCGCACAAATTGATATGGCATAGGATGGGAGTCCATCAAAAATGATATTCACAAACAGGGGTTGCGGACCAAAAAGTTTGGTAAACCCTGCAATAGACAATGTAAATGTAATATTCAATACCGATTGCAATCAATATTTCTTATTTATCATTACTTATTTAAAAAAACAATCATCTAAATTCAGCAATTGTTATAAGATATACCCGCCTTCTATCAATATTCCTGCTCTGTGTCTGCTACTAGACGTAGATACATTGGACTGGCAAAGAGTAATATTGAAACTACCTGAAGTCATATAAGAAGTAATATAAATTATTCTTTGTCACTTTGGTATTCAATCTCACTTGCTTAACCTGATCGTAGTTGGATACCAGAGTGGTACCAATTGTATGCCACTTTCCTATGCCTTTAATATCATAAAGACATTCTCATAGATTCAGTTCCTAACCCTAACTAGAATCAATCAGATCAGACAAACTGCTGAGATCACATACAAAAGTAACAAATCTAACCTTACTCTTCGCTTATGCACATGTAACCTTGTCTATGTAGGTGGTTTTTTGCAATGATATCAATCAGTGGTGCTTTCTCAGTAACATGGTCAATAAGTATTTGCATATGTAGCTGATGTAACAGAGGAAGAACACAGAAGTTCAGCATATGGTCTCGTGAGTATCAGTATTGCATTTATCGCTTATTGTCTTTAACCTACGGTAATTCTTTATTCAATCCTAATCGAGGTCCAATTTTCTTTTCAACAAATACAGGTATCAGCTACGTTTGCTGCTAGTCTCGTTACAAGTCCTGCAATCGGTACATATCTTAGTCATGTCTACGGACGAAATGCTGTCATAGTATTAGCCACGGCCATTGCAGCGTTAGATGTATGTTTTATTCTGGTGGCTGTGCCAGAATCTCTTCCAGAGAATTTCAGACCATCTTCATGGGGAGCTCCTATTTCATGGGATCAGGCTGATCCTTTTGCGGTAATTACTATTTTTATTTGCCTTCCAATTGCTTGCTGATTTATGTTCAGTAATGTGATGTCTCAAATGTATGTTCGCTTTTCTTACACAATTTTTAGTTCTATAATGTATTTGACCTAATGCAAACTACAATTATTGTTATCCTGACATAAGCAAATATAATATTAATCTCTAATAATTTTTACAATAAATTATTATTACATTGGTATGACCATCAGTATTTGAAATATACACTTTTATTTCAGTCGTTACGAAAAGTTGGTGGGGATCCAATTTTACTTCTTCTATGCACCACTGTGTTCTTATCTTATTTACCCGAAGCTGGACAGTTTTTCTTGTATATTTTTCTACCTCCGCCATGTAAGTTACTAGTATTTAAATGAATTTTGACAAGCATAAAGCCAGAATAACCCAAAATGAATTCAGATACTGTCTAATTTGAATTTTTCAACGGTTACTTTCAAGCCATTTATGGATGCTCCGAAAACACTTCACTTTCTTCTTATTCTAAAATCTATAGCATTGGTATAAATTGGTTTAATCAAGGAATGTCCAAAACTATTATTCCTTTCATTTAAATACGTCGTTTTAGGAAGAATTCAGAATGTTTGAAATCTGCTGTTTATACATACAATGGACAACATTCAACTCTTTACACTGTAAATTGTCTTGCTAAATCCAATGCACAGTCTGCAAATATGCCTGCTAATCATGACCCAATTTAGAAGATATTCAAGAATATTTTTAGAATGTATTCGGAATAGCATATAATTCAACTTCGGGAATTTCTGCTTTGATGTATATCAAGACATTTTTTTACAGGTAATTGGATTTGGCGATGAAAAAGTCGCATCTTTTATAGCAGTTGTTGGTGTTTTATCAATTGTAGCACAAACTGCATTCTTGACAATGCTGTTTCAGTCGGTTGGTAACAGAAACACAATATTACTTGGACTGTCATTTCAGACTCTTCAATTATTGTGTTTTGCATTCAGCTCTTCTGAATGGTGAGTTGTTAAATTTGCAATTTGTTAATTTGAATTAGGAATCTTAAGGTAAAATATTTGCTAACTGGGTTTGAAAACGGGAAACAACAACTAGATGTAGGGTAATTTACCACCACCAGGTTACTTAATTCCTATTGATTTTATGTCAAATCATTTGAAGATGAATATGTTTGCTTGATTGTGTTGAATGGCCATTTCATTATTGACAATATGTACAGTCTTTGAGTATGGTGTTGACACCATTTCATTGATTTTCCTCAAGCTTGACTAGACGTCCATCTTGTACATAATTCATGTGCTTTTAACATAATCCTTGTCAGTTTTTGACATGCACCACTTTTAACTTATTTATTCTGTCTGTTTTGTAAATGTACAGCAATATACTACATCCAGACATCATTTTTTGCATTCCCGTAAATCAAATATAAAAGGTAAAACATCCAATCCTCTAATAGCTTCACCATGCAAAATAAAGCTGTGACTGAAAAATAGAGATAATATGATATATTGGTGCATTATTTATACAGGAGCACTAGAGCACTTTATACAAGAACTAGTAGTTAGAAACCTCCAACCCAGTGGTTTTCATCCTTTTTTGGGGGGGGCCCACTTCCTCGCACAAAAAATTGTATTTATTTCTAATACAATCAAATTTAACCAATTTATCAATGGGGCTAACAATTTTACGTGGATTCGTGGCCCAACTGAAAATGTTTCTGTGGCTCAAATAAAATGGTTTTGTGGCCCGGCAGTGGGCTATGGATCACTGATTGAGAACTGGTGCCTAGCCAATTATCTAAATTTTTGAACTGAGGCTTCTTTAAAATTCTGCCTTTGTTTTTTGAAGAGATGTAGTTTTGGCAATACTTGAAAACTATGTTAAAAAACTTTAAAAATTGTTCAAGAAACCAAATTTTTATATAACTATGTTTATCAACTGTTTTTGATTGAATCTCAATTTTCAATTCACAGGACAATGTGGGGAGCTGGTCTATTAGCAGCAATGTCTAGTATTAATTATCCAGCTCTTAGTACGTTGGTCTCAAGTATCACAGATAAACATCAGCAAGGTTTGTATTTCATTGTTATTTTAGTATTGTTGGGGATTCGCATCTTACTGATGATGGTAGGCAGGAATGGCCATACCCAAATACTTGACTATTTTGAATACTTTCTAAAAAAAACTTTTCGAATCTGGAATTTTGAATCCATTCTAAAATCCCCCACATATTTTATTCACTTTTCTAAAACCCATGGATTAATATGTGAAGAGATGATCGATTTGTCATGGTTATAGTGCAAACTTATTCAAATTAATTTACAATAAACCTGCTCTCTAAACATGCACATTACAATTTTTAAATTGTCATCAATTTAGCTTCAAGCAAATCAGACATTTAGTGAAAAAAATGAAGCCAGTATCGGTAGGGTAGCAACTTATCAACAGTATAAACGTTTATATCATCTTGAACTCGTTTATGTTGAATGTAACAGAAAGCTTGATTTGATAATCGTTATGTTTTATTGTTTTCAAGGTGTGGTACAAGGTATTATAACGGGCATAAGAGGTTTATGTCAAGGATTTGGTCCTGCTATGTATGGAGTTGTTTTCTATATATTTGATATTCGAATTGAAGGAGATATGCCTGGTAATTTGATGGCTCATACTACAGTAGATGTAAAGTCTGCCAACTCCTCAACGGAAGTTGATAATCAAGTGAGTATGCACTTCATCATATTTGAAATTAAGTTTTTTGAATTTCATTTTGTTCAATGATATAAAACAGTCTGAACTGTTGGGCACAACAATTAATTTTGTCTGGTAAGTAGTTGAGCATTTTATTAGTACATTTCCTGATATACATGGAAGAGTGTGTCGTTTCTTTTATACTGTCATTTGATGTGATTTAATTTGAGAAACATGAGCCGGAACTATCTTGAAAGCAAGAACTTCTTTGTCACAATATTCATATATTTAGGCAATAATCTAATGCATTGATACTTTTTTTACAGACTTTCCTTCCTGGGCCTCCTTTTCTTTTTGGTGCAATGTCTGTTGTAGTAGCCATGCTTATTGCCCTTATGATTCCAAACACAGAAGCACCTTCATCAACTATAACTTATTTGTCATTGCCAATGCCAAAATCTTTGAGGAGATGGGTGAAGCAGCATGCGGCATGTCGAGGAATTCACTCAGAAAGTGATAAGGAATATACGATCAATAATGGAAAGCTATCAGATGATCAGTTGTCAATACCACAGACAAGGGCTGAACTCGAAGAAGCATTGCTCAGTATGAACTCCAGTGATGAAGAAGTGTAGCGAAAAAAAGGGAGGAATGAAATTTGTTCTTGTACACTGAAGGTTATATCTACATCATACAGTTGGTGTTGACTCTTGTATCTGCTGTGACAATGTTGCTTGACTGACATTCGTAGCTTTTTCATCTTGGCCTATAAATATTCTCTGACAAAAGAAACAATGTCACTGTGCTCTAACTTGGGCGAGATAACTTTTTTTTATCAGTTTATGCTTGAACTACTTAGTATATTAATAACTCTTCGTTTTGTCAAAAAGTACATTGCTGTGTTGTGACACTGTCTGACAAGCAGCAAATAAGCAATAATGAAGCAGATAAAGAAGTACAAGAGTTTTATGAGGTCCCAGAAACACCCTGCAAATTTACAAAGTGTGTACAAAGACATGAAGATGATTACTTTACGATTCTAGGGAATTCCAAGATTAGTTGTCCTATTGAGTGCAATACAAATTTTAATTTCAAAGTGTTGTCTGTTTTGTGTGTTTCTCCATGTAGTAAGATTTGATTCTTTCCTACATTTGGAATTCAGAGATTCCGATATTTGAGTTGGAAATTTGCATGACGTAATTGGACGAGATACTCTTCAATGCGATGTCTGATCTGAGTCAACTAGAATTATGTACCGGTGTTATATATAAACGGGTTGGTTTTGGACGCACTGATAAATGCGTTCAATGGGGCCTGCATTACTTAAGGGTCGTCTATCGCGTGACAGTCTGTGCATGTGGGGATGATAAGACAAGGTGAAAAGCCTCGGGACCGGTGATTAAAATCCAGACCAAGCGGCGGTTACTTGGACCTGTGAACCACGTCATGGAAAGAAGTGCCCGAGCGTTTTAACGCCACATTAAAACTCTACTCAGTTTATTAACTTTCGAACGGCAAATTCCGCGAAGTAGCGCATCGTGCTGAGCGTTAGGAAATAGGAATCGCCCTGCGTGGGCTCGCAGGTTCGAATCCCGGGTAAATATGTGTAAGGGGATTGCCGGATCACCGAGAGACCCCTCGTCGTCGTAGAGTTGATTCGCGTACCGCTGGTCGGTTAATAACTGGCTAACCGATCCCATGGACCTTTCCCCGAGCATCGACTTCCTTGTTTACTTCGTGACATTGGCCAATCAGCATAATGCAAAAATTGACGTAACAATGCTCCCTTTTCGCATCCGCTCAGACACTTTTCTCACTCAGACCAATGACATTAAACAACATGATGCGCAACTCCAACATTTTTGTCCGAAGATCGTATTCGATAGCACGCTCCAATGCACGTACTTGACAAGACGAAAACAAGCGGATGTGTGCTGCTTTCAAGGCGTAGCACGAATGGTGTTCGTGCCTGCTTTGACAGTTGTTGTCGATTTTAATGATATTTTGGAAAGTTAAGGTAAAAGGAAATCGGAAAAAGATAAGGTAAATACTATTGTTGTATATCACACCCGGGCATCGCACTGTTAAGTACATGTGGGAAAGCCAGCCTTTGTCAAATACTACGAAGTTATTAATTCAGTACGGTACGTAGTTGCCCCTTTGCCGAAATTACATATTTACTTACCATTTATGGTTTCAAATAGTTCATGCACCTCCAGTTAGATTTTTTTAATCAGTGAGAATATATACTCATTGTTGATTGCTGCTCATTGTAACATACTATTGCGCATTCACTTTTATTTGCGTATTGAATCAAAGTGTTAACAAGTTCACCTGACATTTCACTCATACCGGTCTATATTGTATAGTCTGATCTCTCAAGTATTTGGAGCCACGACTGCTTGTAATTTTCTGACTAAACCCTTTTATTAGTTGGTTTATATACCAAATTCAGTACAATATTTTTTACATAAAACATGAGATATTGGATTTATTAGCTTTTCCATTCTAAATCACATAAACTGCTTTATTTAATTTTAACGAAAATTAATAAATCTCCTCTCTTTCTTCAGATGTGAAAGTTGTGGACAAACCTGTCTAAGCATTGCGAGACTCCTGCAGCACAAGAGGCAATAGCAGAAATAGTAAGTATATCAATCAAGAAATTAAGCCGACATAAAGCAAAACTTTCAACTATTCGTCTAATCTCAATGTCCTATTATTTATTCACAGGACAACTATAGCAGACGGGGAGATGTCAGAAGTCTGGCGACATATCAGTGACAGTGTGATTCCAAGAAATATAATTAGAGTACTCCATAAATGTTTGCAATAGAAAAACAACCTATGGAGGCATGCAAAGACATTTGACCCTCCGGTAAAGTTGTGTAATGCCCCCACATCCTGCAGGGCTTGAGGAAAATAACTAAAAATTCCAAAGCGTAAGATTGCATAAGCGGTCTTATTTGTAAAAAGGCACAAAACACGCCAGACATACTTAAAACAGCTTTGGAAAATGAGGATTACGGGTAACTCACTGCACCTGTGTTATATTTGGTTCATCAACTTTTGTTAGTACTATAGAAGAAATTCCGGAAGGGGTATAATCATCATTCATGATAAAATACTATCATATATATTTGGACAACTTCAATATGGACCAGGGATCTCAAATTCGCGGCACCAGAGAACTTCCAGTGCCGCCCTCGAACGCTTAACAATAATTGTAATAGTATTTTGGAAGTTTTTTTTATCTAAATGTAATAGATTTTTCAAACCTTTTAAAGTGAAATTGATTATTCACACAGAAAACAATTTACTGAAAATAGTTTTGGAATATTAATTTTTTTTGTCCACATTTTGACCCAATTAAGAATACACATCAAGCTAGCAAAAGAATACTTGAATAAAACACTTGAGTGATTAAATTAAACGCAAAGTACGTGAAGAAGGCGGCATTTTCGAAGAAAATGGGAGTTGCAATATTTCTGCTTTTCACAAAATTCTGAAGCACATTGTTTAGTTCGTCATATTTCCATCAATACATTGAAAAAACACAATAAGCTCAGCAGTCAATATGACAAATTCGAAGACCAACTTCGAACAGAAAATTTCCATGTGTTTGTATATTAAAATAATTATACAACGACTTAGTTACTAAAAATCAATATCAATAATAATTCAAGCAATCCTATGCCACGCAATGTGGTGCGAAATGTCTTGTCGAAAAAATCTGTCATTTGTTTTTTCACTGATCTATACATGAAATGATAAAAGTAACTTTTTTGCATTACTGGAATTAATTAAACATTCGCAAAGATCCAGATTAACTCGTGATCATGTGGCCTCGTTAGTTGGTACTATAAAATCATTTCAGCCTAGCCTTAGTATGCTGGTGACACAAAAAAGATGCCAAACGTCAGGACAAATATAGTTATTAAAACATTGAGTTTATACTGTAGTATTTTTGTTAATTTTAGGTTCATATATTTAGATTAAGTTATTTTAGTGTATGCATTATTCTTTCCTTATCCAAAGCTTGTTCAAAAATGATTTTGATGGTTGTACATAAAATTTTATGATTTTTTATAATAAATACAGTAACTTGCAAATGTTGCAATAATAGTGGAATGCAAATATTAATATGTAATTGTATATGAAATTGAAGAAAATAATAAAACTTAATCCAACTGTTTAGTTGCATCACAATATATGTCACAAACTAAAACTATCTTAAAAATATCTTTTAACTATACATTATCAAAAACTGTTTGCGGCCCTTTTTACAATTTCCAAAATGCAATGCGGCTCTCGAAAACCCATGAGTTTGACACCACGGATCTATTCTAGACGATTCAAGCATTGCTTTGGGAAATAATATCACTCCAATTAAATGGAAAAAAATCTCGCTATATTAAATACAAAATCGTTGCTATCGTAAAGGTAAACCAATTCAGCCACTCGAAATATATTGGCCTTCACAAAGCAATGGAGGCAAAATTGAGAGTTCATGAGCTATGAACATTTGTTCTTTTCTTTGTCTTGGACTTTTCATACTCCACAGCCCCTAATAATTTTTTTTTAATTTTAATTACCATGTGATGGTCATACATATCTTTAACTTGTGTTTTCTGTCATGATGTATTATCTCAATGTGCCAAACTATTAATTAGTGTGCATATTTTGCTTCCAGATGACATAAATGTATTGTCTTGTTTATTACCTCAGCTTGGAGTATTGACAAGAAAAAGGTGCCAGTAAAAAATCCACAATCAATAGGAATTATAAACAGCCAATAATCAATGAGAAATATATGCGAAATCCCTCATAATAAATTTGTCTAAAATCGGAGGAAGGCAAAAAATATAGGTAGTTTCCATCCACACAAGCATTTCAAGAAGACTTGCTCGAGCCAAACTAATTGAATTCAGCCCTGCATCCTCCTGCATAGAAGATATTATTAATTAGTGGGCTATGAGCTAAATTCCTAAATTCAAACAAACCTATCTACGATGCATTATGTACCAGCAATGTTACCTACGATTAACTGAATATGTAATATGTCTAGTAAATTCACCTACAAAAGCAAGTTCGATAGGTGCAAACTTTGTGTTATGGAATTGTATCACATCACAGTTTTGTATGACACCCTCTTTAAAGGAAATTTCAATGATTCAGCGCAAACATTAAAATTACAAACTTTGAACTTTGGGATTATCTGCAAAATGTTCCACACAAATCTTTCCGCTATCGCGTTTGTAATCTTCTCTGATAAAAAAACGTCTATAATGTCCCGAATTGCTCTTTACAGCTTGCCTGCCATTCCAGCTTTCCAAGTGAGCAAAACTTCTTAGATATAGAGATGATTTTGTTTCGTTACAGGCGCAAAAAGGCAGGTACTACACGTAAAAAAGACGCCGAGTAGCAAAAGCGAGCGGAAAACGGACGCGAAAGGCGACGAAAAATATGTGCATTGGAGCGTATCATGAAATACAATCTTTCGCCTATAGTCTTATGGAGTGACGTCAGAGTTGCCTATCATGTTGTTTAATGTCATTGCTCAGACCAATGACATCAGACGGACTTTCAAGCGTGGTAGTAAACATTACCTCGTTTTCGCGTTTTTGAACTCTATTCGCTAGTTTTCATTTGTGTTTCGGAAACTTAAATATAAATCAGATAATTCAATTATCACTCTGTCTTCCTAGGTGTTTTAATATAATTACAGTAATAAAAAAATAGTGTAGAAATAGCTGTGATCCGGTATGTTAGTCGTTGGCTGTGATACCCTAGGCTAAAATTCCTTACCCGTACTTTTAAAAAACAGATTATTGTATGCGATGAATCATATTGATGATTTTGAACACATACCCCATTTTACGGGCGCCAACTTGTTTGCAATGATAAAGTATAATAAGAAGAATTCGAGGGTCAAAGGTCGGGGAAAGGTCCATAGCCTTCCCAACATACCAAAGCTCTTCAAACCGGGTGCTCTGACCTTCGGTGGGTCGCAAAGGGGCTTTAATGGGAGTCGTGAAGAAGTCTTTTTTGGCACTAATTCATCGCAACTGTCTCAGCGAGCGAAGTGCCAAATGATGGGACTACATGGCTTGGCCTGATTTCTCTATTTGTATTATTTGTTTCTACACTCATTTCTGTTTTCAACTCGCGAATGTTGCCGAGTTAAGCTCCTGTAAGCATTATTTGAACCATGGCTGTCTTTTGCACATGTCCGAAACAGTGATACGATTCAAAATTTTAATAACAGGTCTCATTTGTGTGGAACTCGCTAATAACAGATTTTCTCACTTCAGAAAATGTGTAGCCTACTTTTCACAACTTAAGCTACATTAACATTACACTCTTCACATAAACCTAACGCATATTATATATCCTTCGAAATGACAAATATAACGCTAGTCGGTCAGCTGCGGTCCATTTGCTGCAGCTAAGATCTAAAACAAAACTAAAAAAGAGAACAGAAACAGGTTCGCGCAAACGCACCGGATCCCACCACTGTAAGATGGGATTTACATATTTATGCATGTACTTGATAGTTGAAATATACTTTTTTAGTTTCCAGTTTTCCCCCTAGACTCCCTGTTAGCTTTTAAACGAAAATCAACTTAACTGTTTTTGAACTTTGGTTTGGCGAAAACGGAAGAATTTTCCAAAGGCCGTGTTTTTGTGATATAAAATAAAGTAAACTTTCATTAGAACATAGTCAGATGCTATTTTTAGTGTTTTTGATATTCCAGATGTATTCCTTGTATTCTATGTAAAAAAAATCCTGAAGAAATTAATACTCATTCCAAGTAACTTTTTCCCGACTAAAATTAATAAAAAAAAGGTTTTATTTCCTAATTCACAACTATAGTCCAAGCCAATTTCATGAATAGAGGCCCCCATATGTAGTCAGCCATCATTCACCCATTGTACTGTCATTTGCAAAGACGTTTACAATTCAAATATGTCGCGATAGTGTGTCGAAGAGGCAAATTTTAAACATCGTTATTCGGATGCAGTTGTAGGGTCGTTTCGCCTGGAAACAGTGAAATTCATCAGATCCGTTAGGATCACCAAGCAACGAAAACGTCAAGGCGGACTTTCATTTACAGAAAAAACGTCTGTCACCTTCTTTAAACCAATTAATGCTATTTTCTACAGTTTTGGGACTTAACCAATTAAAAAATAATAATTTAGCCAGGAACAAAATATGTGTTACACACAGTAATTACCACCCACGAGATTCGAACCTGCCCACACAGGGTAATCACTAATCACGCTTAACACGATGCGACACACGGGCCAAGTCTAAGTTGGTGGTCAGTGTGTCAAGTCTAAGTGTGCCTCTTGCTGATTGACATCGTTGGTAGCAGTCAGTGGACATATCTGCAGTAGAGATTAGATCGGGCCCAAAAATTAAAAGTCCAACCGGACCCCGTGGGTATTAAACCCGACCCAGACTAATTAACTGGATTTGCAGACACTTTTCCCACTCAAGACAGATTTTCGGCCGTGGTCTTGGTTTTTGAACTCTATTCGTTAGTTTTCAGTTATGTTTCGGAAATTAAAAACATAAATCAGATAATTCAAATATCACTTTGTCTTGAGTTTTAATTTAATTGCAGTAATAAAAAATAAGTGTAGAAATAGCTGTGATAGACTACGCTAAAATTCTTTACGTTTACTTTTAAAAACAGATTGTTGTATGCGATTAATTATAATGATGGTTTGAAACAAATCCCCCCTTTTACTCGAAACCCATTTTAAAATAAAATAAGCCCCGAAAAATTTTTCAATGGTAAAGTATAGGAAGAATATTTTCGGGGGTCAAAGGTCAGCAAAAAGTCCATTACAGCCTGTTTTATTCAATTATTTCTTTTATAACAGGTATTCCTCAGTTTAGTATCCACACATAGTTTTAGTATATACTTTTTTATAAACATATATTTATTTTTAAAAAAAGTCAGCGATAGAGAAGCTCGACCCGAACGCAATGATTTACATTTCAGGCTTCAGATCTTAGCTCTAATCTGCAGTTTATTTCACGATAAAGGAAAAACTAATTGTTTGGAAATATTACCTATGTTAGCGATTCCCAGTATCCTAAGCTAAATTCAAGAATGGGAATTTGAAATTCCGTACTCTACAAACATTTAAAACTATATCAATACCCAAAATAAGAGACCAACATTAGCAAGAGAAAAACAACAAACAAATTGGAAAACTCCAAATTGAATTTGTTGTAAAGTACCAACTTTGTATACAACTATGTTGCAATTGAGTGAAGAAACAAAGCAAAATAGATCTATAATATTTTTCAAAGAATACTCCTTTAGGTACCGTACTTATATATATGGTTTATGACAAAAAAATTTCAATCAGGATCCAGCTTTATTACTTTAAATAAGTTTCCTGAATCATTACAATCATCTGATATAGGTTCGCTCCTGCATATTACAGACATCCGCCGTCCTTTTGGTATATTAGTTCCACGAAACAAAGATTCCTCATTTCTCAATATTTCATGAGTGTATTCAAATCGGATGCTAGAAAGAGATTCATTTCATTAATGCAATCATTGTACTTATTCAATAATTTTGAATAAAACAAAAGATTGAATAATTTGAATCTTTTTAATTGTCATATATAAAAAACAACATTCTAGATAAAATTTCTGCAAATAAAGCATCATCAATATCCAAACTTTTGATAAATATTAGCAGTATATTAAAATACTATGAATAACATACCAACCTGTCACGCATTATGTATAAAGATCTCCTGTTCAATAGGACAGTTATTTGTTTTGATTTATCTTTTTCATTAATCAGTCTCATCACAGATGGTGTTAACAGACTCAAACCAGCTATGACTCGTCCACAAAACTAATAGGAAAAGAAATGTGTCTGAATAGTAAATTGTTTTGGTGTTCCCAGAGTCATTTAAAACTGTGGTCATCTGTGGACAGATTGTCTATGATGGATCTTACATGATGGGACATGGACATTTAAACGAAACTGTGACATTTCAAATTAAGTTCGGGGTGTTATAAATATAGAAATAGTTTTGAGTAGAAAATACAAATTATGAATCCTGTCAAATAATATGAAAATAAAGTATTATGATACATTTGTTGCTTTATATACTGATGAGCACAAGCTACAGATTTTTTTAACTTAATGAATTTGAAAAAATAATTGAAATTAGTGAAAGTCATAACCCATTAGACAATTGTTTTTCATTAATATTAATTAGTAGCATCATACGTACATACTATATATATGTGGCCTTCACAGGATTCAAGGACTCCTGGAAAAATGTCACATAAAACAATAGTTTCAAGTTCTTTGTAATAGAAATATGTTTCACACCTTCACTGAGTCCACATGAGGTTTGATATATCCATCTTCTGCAGGTCAAGAACATGTACAGAGCACGTTGACTGTCTTTCTCAGCAAATGCGGCATTTCTCAACCTATTCAATATATTGGAACTTGTTTCTGACCATTAGATACTTCTGTTTCCGATATCCCTGAATTGCCTGGATAAAAGTATGATAAAAGACTCGGAGGAATTTTTACACGCAACAACGCTTCAACATGAGAACTTTAGGCATCAGAATCAGTCATATTTGTGTCGTGCATGAGTCAGTCCTATTATACAGAATGGTACAGTGTGGAAATCATATTGAATTGTGAAAAGGACTTAGATAATTTAAGTTTTTTTGGCCTGCTTAAATAGAAGTCAATGAATTTAATCAAAACACAAACCTCAAATCACAAGCATTCATACAAACATAACAAAGTGATATGCTAGTGGAAGGTTAACCATTTTCCCCCAGAACTTCCTTAAAGAATATTATACATTTTCATATATTTTGATCTCTAACTCCTACGACCTACTGTATTTAGTCTGACAGTTCAAATTTACAAGTAGTCTGTTACAGTAACTTACATCATCCCAGTGATCAAACTGGTATATTCAGCCTTCTCCACTTTGGCTCAATGTCCTTCATTAAACACTGCTCTTCATCTTCTGTGATAAAGTGTTAATTAAAACCATTTCTTTTTGTTGCCAATGACATCAACTCTGGCATGGAGCAGTCATAACTATGTATTGATTGTGATACATGAGCAAGCATGTGTGCCATTAATGGTATGCTTGCTTAAATATCGTGGTGCCACAAGAAAATGAGCGTGTACTCTAGCAAAAACAGAGCATGTCAGCATTGTGGGATGGGTGGTCAGTGAACAGTACCGATACGTATTAACAGTCACGACAGTACAATGTGCAGATGTCTGGATGTAGTGTAGGCCTAGTCCTGTAGTCGCACTTTATCACTGCATCCCTTGATTTATTGATGACTAATCACATATTTTTCTAGCTGGTTCTAAAACAGTAGGTTTTTACATTCTGCAAGGACATATGATTCTGAAATTACCACGGTAGCTTAGAAAAATTATATTAGTTCCGTGGCGCAGCCAGCTCGTTTTGAAATTTTCGAAATACCTGAATAAGTCGCTTATAGCCCCTTATGTACAGACATCTGGACATAGAGCAGAGACAATGCATAACAAGTTAACAACATCTATGCTGCATAGACTATGCATGGCCAAAGAGTGCGTTTCTCTCATTTATGCGGGATTAATTGAAGGCCTTCTCGTTTTGACGATAGAATTCCAACCACTGAACTGGAAATATATGGAACAATCTTCTCTCTCGTTTTGCGTTGTCTCGGCGGTCTCGGCGCGTGATCCTCTGATCGCCGCCATTTTGACCATGGGCAACTAGGACGCTGGTTTGTCACAAAGAATGTATACCGGAAATCTTTTTTGCTACACCGGAAACGCATTGCTGTTCAATATAATGAGAGGCAAAACCAAGCAACGATCTTGTTGATGCCCCGAAGTTGGTGGAATGTCCGCGGAAACGGTGGACGACAGAGACAGCAGGAACGTTTGAAATAGTTGGAGACTGTGGAGACAGTTTTGAATATCGAATTGTTCAAGAGTTTGTGGATCAATGGAGTTGTTTAAAAAGTCCTTCATATTTATAGTAAGAGGTTCCATTATCTTTGAACCCGCGTACATTTGCACCCGTACATCTGAACCCGTAATTTGAACCCAGAACAATTGCACCTGTATACTATTGCACCTATGAACATTTGCACCTACGGACATTTGAACCCATACATTTCCACCCATGGATTTTAGCACCCGCATATAGATTGAACCCGCGGACATTTGAACCCGTGTACGTTTGCACCCGCGTACATTTGAACCCATGTACATTTGCACCCGCGGACATTTGAACCCGTGTACGTTTGCACCCGCGTACATTTGAACCCATGTACATTTGCACCTGCGGACATTTGAACCCATGTACATTTGAACCCACGAACATTTGCACCCTGGACATTTGCACCCGCGGACATTTGAACCCATGTACATTTGAACCCACGAAACATTTGCACCCGCGGACATTTGAACCCATGCTATATTTCCACCCCACAGACATTTGAACCCACGTATATTTGAACCTGCGTACATTTGAACCCACGGACATTTGAACCCGCGTATATTTGAACCAACGTATATTATATTTGAACTCGCGTACATTTGAACCCACGCACATTTTCACAAAAAATGTTTGCCCCAACAGCAAATTCCAGTCGCAAATAATTTTCATGTTACAGGCGCAAGCTCAATATTTAAATTTCAACACTGTTTCATTTGTAGTTAGTTTTGGTGTATATGCATTTACCCGCTTCTACGAAGCAAGCATTTTTGAGTGTCATCGTAGTCCCTAGTCCGAGGGATAAACGTCTCTTAACGATATAACAACATTGTTCTGCCAAGGTCTTTTTTCTTTTGCTGTTTTTTTTACATTGATATTTGTAAATCCTTATCTCCATCGTTAGCCGCGATCTCCAAAACAGACGATGACCTAGAAAGCGGTATTTCGTTGAATACCTGAAACAAGGGCTAATACGGAACAAATATCTCACAGACCAATGAAGTCTTAAATGCGGGTCTTACTAAAACTAGCTTTACAGTAATATTTTTAGTGGTCAACTCCTATAAATTTGTTCTGAAATTATTGCACCGAAAACGCCTACTATGATATCCCGCCCAGCATGAGATTTGGGAGCTCTGTGGCCACTTCATGTTTTCTTGCTAGCATGTTTACAAAATTGTTATATGTATGCATACACGACCACGCTTTACTGTTGGAAATGAGTGTTGTCTCAAATCAGGTTTTGCCATTTTTCCTAAAATCAATCTATAAATTGAATACTATTGTCTGTATATAAATAAATAAACGCACAGATTCTTCGTTTCTAAGAAAATATGAAATTAAGATAATGAAACTATGTCATTTTTGTAACAACATGTTCATAGCCAAATGCCAGTTTTATGAAGTATTGTTTCATTAGAATGTCAGAACAAAACTATACATAGAAATCGTAAGTCATGTAAATATGTTGAATATTCGAAAGTGAAGAAGTTTTAAAATCATTATCGTGGCCAAAAATGGTTTTTTGCTGTTTACACTATTTAGAGTAAATCGAACATATTCAGCATATAGGGTCTGTTAAATATGATATTGCAATTTACAAACGACGTCATAGGTTACGGATTACATTTATTTTAATACTTCAATAAAGTTATCACTCACAAATTTGTGTCGAATGGGCGATCAATTTTGAGATAGAGTAGCTATGGACATTTTACAAAATAGGAATTTATCAATTATGATACAATAGTTAAACAACAAATCAAAATAATGACGATAAACGAAATTTTACGATATCACGATCAAAGTCAAAATCAAATAGACTGCATTTGAGCTATTGAGTGGAGATACCTCAGCTTGTCGGTTTCAGTTCCATATGAAAAAACTTTAACTGACAACCTAACAGCAAGTTGTACATACTTTGATCTTTGGTGGGCCGTAACTCCTACATGAGCATTTGCCGCAGTCAGTTTGTGGACCGCAATGTCTTTTCGTAGGCCATTCAGCAAACCCCATATACTCGGATGTTTGCATCGGAACATTCCTTGTAAGGCGTTGTGAAATCCTTCTACAGCGTTTGTTGTTCTTGGGGCCGAAGGCATCATTTCAATCTCTTTGGCATAGTTCCACAACGAGGGGGAAATCTTGCTTCTCTTGGACGTGAACCCACTTGAGGTCCACGAATGTAGGTAGATTCAAAATATTGCAAAAGTTGATTGCATTCGGGCGAATCTTCGAAGGTGTCGCAAAGCAAGGTGAAGACTTCGGCAACCTCGTTAATGGGAACAAAAGCCAGAGCTGCCAAACTTCTAATTTTCAGATTGAAAGAGGGTAAACATTCAAACTTCTCTTTTAATCCGATAGAACCAACTTTTCGAATTTAGCTTGTGACAGGTGAAAATAACATCCTTTAATATCGGCCAGAGGAAATTGTCATGGAATGCATTGATAGCTGCTATTTCAAAATCAACAATGATTTTGGTGGAGCATTTGGGAAAATGATTTTCAACACTTCCACATCTGAACGTATGTTTCTTGTCGCTTGTCTCGTAATAGGAAATATACGCATGGTGGATAGGATGCGCCCACTTTACAGTGAATTGTATACAACTGGAAGAAAATACGGGCACCACATCAAATGTACCGTCGCCAAGATATGTGACTATCTAGATGTGCAAGTAGTGATCGATCTCCAATGGCCATTATCCGATGACGATCCTCCGGGCCAGTGTCATGCAAAATGATATCTAAATATTCGCTCGGAATATCAAAGCTTGCACTTGTAGGATTCGTACGTGAACAATTTTTCTGTCGCCTTACTCTGCGTATATTGGCCTCCAGAGTCGACTTGCCTGGCAAGCGCATTAGTACATCTGTTGATCTATTATTCAATACTTCACCTAAAATATATCTTGTCGATGTATTTGATGGTGTTGATGCTGCTTCTTTTAATGTTGCACGGATGATCCCAACTTCAGTCTTAATGCTGTCGCCAGAATGACTGTGATATCCTAGTTCTTTTATTACATTTTCACCGATCGTAACAACAGTCGATTTACATCGAAATTTCCTAAACTGACGGCAGCGCCAATGAGTAGCATCTGAAACCCGATCATTTCGCTTACAATATTCGTGGCCTTTGTAAATCAGTAAGTCGTTTCCTCTTGTGGTCTTGGAAAATGTAGGCGCCATGTTTCCAACTTATTTTCGCAAAGGGACTTGTCATCTTCGCTGCTGCAACGTCCTGAAGAAACAGTTTGGAATTGTCTGCGAGGGAAAAAGGGCATTGATGCGAGGAAAAACTTTGCGCGGGATCGAACTATCTGCGAGGGAAAAAGGGCATTGATGCGAGGAAAAACTTTGCGCGGGATCGAACTAACACATCAATTAAAATCCTTGCTCGCGCTCTTCAAGAGTCGTCGACCGTTCAAAGCACAAATCATACTCCCCAATTTTGGCTCGCATTCTACAGCGGAACATTTTGTCCATTGAGTCTTATGATATCGACAACTGCGATGACAATGACAGACGGAGTATAATATAAATATATAATATAATTTAAATATATAGAAAATGGTGACCGTACATTTGAACCCACGTACATTTGAACCCATGTGTATATCCACGGGTTTAATCTATATGCGGGTGCTAAAACCCATGGGTTAGGGTTAGTATGGGTTCAACTATCCGAGAAACAAAAAAATATCATAGGTGCAATAGCATACAGGTGCAATTGTCATGGGTTCAAATGTACGTGGGTTCAAATGTAATGGAACCATAGAAAATAGTTGTAATAAAGCCTTCGAGTATATAGTCGAGAATTCCATGGTAATATTGATTGTTTTCGCAACGTATGCATTTGGAGAAAGAATCCTAAGTGTACCTTCCAATCCTATATACCAGGGCTACTCAACTATTTTCACCAAAGGTCCGTTTACGAAACTTCAAAATTACCGGGGTCCGGACATTACAGAAAATTTATTTCATCAAATAAGCGAAACTTCAAATTCAATATTGAATTAAATACAAGAGCAATGAATGGCTCGCAAATATGGACACACATGTCGCACATCGGTACCAGTACGACAAACTGTACAGCTGTGTATTTAAATTGTATCAAAATCATTTAAAACTATAAAACGATGCTTATGCTGCTAAAATAAACAAGCAAACGCGGTCCAAATTTTATGGTCAAAAGGTCCGGATTCGGACCGCGGTCCGCCAGTTGAGTAGCCCTGCTATATACTATAGTATATAGCATGGAAGGATAAGGGTGTATATGTAAAGACGCTGATATCCGTAAATGCAAATGCCCATGGGTGTAGATGTTCATGGGTGCAAATGTCTGTGGGTACAATTGTACGCGGGTGTAAAAGTACGCGGGTGTAAATGTATGTAGGTTCAAATGTCCGCGGGTGCAAATGTACATGGGTTCAAATGTCCGCGGGTGCAAATGTTCGTGGGTTCAAATGTACATGGGTTCAAATGTCCGCGGGTGCAAATGTACATGGGTTCAAATGTACGCGGGTGCAAACGTACACGGGTTCAAATGTCCGCGGGTGAAAATGTACATGGGTTCAAATGTACGCGGGTGCAAACGTACACGGGTTCAAATGTACGCGGGTTCAATCTGTATGCGGGTGCTAAAATCCATGGGTGGAAATGTATGGGTTCAAATGTCCGTAGGTGCAAATGTCCATAGGTGCAATAGTATACAGGTGCAATTGTCCGGGGTTCAAATTACGGGTTCAGATGT